ATATAAAGATACTATTTTCTCATGAAGAACAAGAAGCACTTTAAAATGCTTTACATTTATACAGCATTTTAGTATTATGTATTATATTTATTTATATCCCACTTTTTCGCTCTTAAAAAAGACTCAAGGCATTTTCACGCCTTCAAAGGCCTCTCTGTTTTACCGGAGAGGGGACTGTTTTAGATAGTTGCAGTAAAAACCACAAAAAGACTTAATTTATTATGGAAGAAGCTTTGCAAACTACACCCCACTGCATTGGATATAAATATAATTTCAGAAGGAGAGTGGAAAGTTAACCCTCATCTATGGATTAGATATCCATGGTCTCATTTACCCATGTTCTGTACATGGGTACACTAATACAGCATTTTTAAGCATACCAAAGGTCTCTCTTGCCCCATCTACACTGACCATTTAATGCAATTTCTAACCGGTATTGAAGAAAGCGGTTGTGCAGTGTAGATGATTACATAGGAAATCCTGGAACCAATTTGGCACCAAGATGGTCATTACACAAACCACATAGAACTGATGTACATTAAGGACTTTCTTTTGCCCGCTTTTGTGAGAGCTTCTTGTCTGGCCAACACAATTTGAAGTTAGCTTCAAAGTGCATTAAATGGTCTGCGTAAATGAGGCTTCTGTATTGGGTTTCCAGAGGGGTGGCTGCACTGGACTGCTGCAACAAAAAACACAGACTCCTGTTATCCATTAAGGACTACAGTAGTTTATCAATGAAGAAACTTTGGCAAACTACAGTCTGTTATATCAAGTATTAACACAATTTAAGACATACATGTAATTTACACATATGTGAGCAGAGTTCACATTTTTGACTGTGAGGGTCAGAGAAAAATTAAATGTAAACTACAGGTCTCAGAGTTACAAACATCCAACTTACAAATGACTCATAGTTAAGAACGGGGTGAGACAGCAGGAAGTGAGAGAAATCTATCCCTAGGAAGGGAAATTCACCCCTGAAAGAGTTATTATCATGGGGCAAAGGTGTCTCCACTGAAGCTTTATCACCAATCCTTGTTTCCACAACAAGCCATTTTTTTCAAAATTCTGAACAGGGCAGACAGCAAAACAAATGCTATGGAGATGTTAACCATTCCTAATGCTATCCAAAGCCATATATGTGTGTGTGTCTGTATGTGTGTGTGACTGGAATTGAACTTCAAAAATGTACCTGTTCCAACTTACAAACTTAAGTTAAGAACAAGCCTACAGAACCCATCTTGTTCGTAACTTGGAGACTGCCTGTATATTGGAGAGAAAGAGAGAAATTATATTCGACATCCACGGTTTCACTTATTCACACTTCCTGAAGTATTTTGAGCCTCTCTAAACCCTCCAGTGTGATTCCGTGGTATGCTTCACACCCAAGTATAGCCAAAATATAAGGTTTTGTCATTGCCCACAGTTTCAAGGATCCACAGGGGATGTGTGCGTGTTTTGGAATGCATCTGTTCCGAGTTTCCTTCAGGAGAGATAAAGCTGTTGGAAATAGCAACTATCTACAACCCTCCTATACCAGTTATTTGTTATGTATATAATTGTAATTGCTTACTATATTGCATGTATATATTGATATGCAGTTTCCCCTTAACTCTATGTCGTTTGAGGTTGTGGGAGGGACTGCAGACCGTGTGACCACATCTGGGACTATTCAGACTGAGATTCCATTTCAGAAGACAGTACAGTACAGTGAGTGTTAGATTTTGCATCAGATGTCAGTACAGTTTGCATCAGAAGCAGTACAGTTTAGCAGTTAGTCAGTATGCTACAGTGTGTAGTCAGTCTATTGAGTCAATGTTCAGTAATGGACTAGACCAGTGTTTCTCAATCTGGGGGTCGGGACCCCTGGAGGGGGTGTTCTGAGGGTGTGTTAGAGGAGTTGCCAAAGACTATCAGAAAACATGATATTTTCTGCTGGTCATGGGGGTTCTGTGTGGGAAGTTTGGCCCCATTCTATCACTGGTGGGGTTCAGAATGCTCTTTGACTGTAGGTAAACTAAAAATCCCAGCAACTACAAGTCCCCAATGTCAAGTCTATTTTCCCTAAATTCGACCAGTGTTCACATTTGGGCATATTGAGTATTTGTGCCAAGTTTGGTCCAGCTCCATCATTGTTTGAGTCCACAGTGCTCTCTGGATGTAGGTGAACTACAGCTCTAAAACTCAAGGTCAATGTCCACCAAACCCTTCCAGCATTTTCTGTTGGTCATGGGAGTTCTGTCTGCCAAGTTTAGTTCAATTCCATCGTTGGTGGAGTTCAGAATGCTCTTTGATTCTAGGTGAACTCTAAATTCCAGCAACTACAACTCCCAAATGACAAACTCAATCCGCCCAACTCCATCAGTATTCAAATTTGGGCGTATTGGGTATTTGTGCCAAATTTGGTCCAATGAATGAGAATACATCCTGCATATCTACATTACAATTCATAACAGTAGAAAAATCAGTTATGAAGTAGCAACAAAAATAATTTTATGGTTGGGGGTCACCAAAACATGAGGAACTGTATTAAGGGGCTGTGACATTAGGAAGGTTAGAGAATAGATTATTTAAACCAGGGGTCCTCAAACTTTTTAAACAGAGGGCCAGGTCACAGTCCCTCAGACTGTTGGAGGGCCGGATTATAATTTGAAAAAAATGAATGAATTCCTATGCACACTGCACACATCTTATCTGTAGTGCAAAAAAACACTTTAAAACAATACAATTAAAATGAAGAACAATTTTAACAAATAAAAACTTATTAGTATTTCAATGAGAAGTGTGGGCCTGCTGTTGGCTGATGAAATAGAATTGTTGTTGTTTGCTTTCAAGTCGCTTCAGACTTAGGCTGACCGTGAGTGAGGGCCTCCAAGGTAAATTACCTTGGAGGGCCGCATAGTTTGAGGACTCCTAGTTTAAACTATCAAACAATAAGAAATGTACCTGTATGTTGAATACATGAAGTCTGTAAGTAAATCAACTATGTTACTTTTAACAAAGACTACCTATTTTTGGTCTCTTGAGAGCATGATTTACAACCAAATATATTTTATGGGAGAGTAGATGTTTCTGGGCAACTGAAATAACACTTCTGAATGTCTGCTATATATTCTGTACATTGGCAAATCTTCGTTCCTAACAGTTCAGCGAGATAACCAGGTATATCAGTCTAACAACTGAGAAGCGTAATTTGCCCTGCATGGATGCTTACAACTAAGGAGAAGATTCACCCAAACCAGTATTAAACTTTTCTCAGGAAGATCATACTTTACAAAAGGTTGCTTACTCCAAATAGTGTGAATACCAACAAATCTCCAAAAGGGTCACACTTCCAAAAGGCTATGGTCTCTAAAAGGTCATGCCCCCCCCCCAAATGGGGGTATAGATAAAATAATGATACAGGGGTCCTACTGCATTGAACAAGGACTTTCTGAAAACTTCAGTATATCATGGGTGTTGTAGTTTGGCAAGGTCCCCGGGACTCTTTGGCAGAGAAAGCTTTGTAAATCTACAACTCCCACAGCATTGAGCCAGGGCAGTTCCAGTGATGCCAAACTGCAGTCATTCCACAGTGGAGATGTTACCTAAGTGCAGGGCTTAAGACTTGACCTGAACTAAGGACTGTGAACTCCTTCTGAACTGCTGCACTTGGAGAAGGGCGCCAGAGACTGAAGGAGAGTGGGCAGATGTGTACAGATAGATAGAATAGATACTGTACATACATATATGGGGTGTTTCAAAGTGATGGGCCCAGTTTGTATATGCAAAGAGGCAGAGTGGGCAGATGTGTACAGCATGTGTGTATACATATATAAATAGAACAGATGAGACAGATAGATAGGGAGGGGAGGGAGGAAGGGAGGAAAGAGAGAGGAGAGAGAAAGAGGGAAGGAAGGAAGGAAGGAAGGAAGGAAAGAGAGGAGGAGAAGGAAGAAAAGGAAGAGAGAGAGGAGAGAGGGGGAAGGAAGGAAAGAAGGAAGGAAGGGAAGGAAGGAAGGAAAGAAAGAGGAGAGGAAGAGAAAAGAGAGAAAGGAAGGAAAAGAAGGAAGGAAGGAAGGAAAGAGAGAGAGTGAGAAGAAGAAAAGGAAGAGAAGGAAGGGAGGGAAGGAAGAAGGAAAGAAGGAAGGAAAGAGAGGAGAGAAGGAAAGAAAAGAGAGGGAAGGAAGGAAGGAAGGAAGGAAGGAAGGAAGGGAAGAAGAGAGGGAGGAAGGGAAAGGAAGGAAGGAAGGAAAGAGAGAGAGAGGAAGGAGGAAAGAGGGAGGGGGAGGAAGGAGAAAAGAGGAAGGGAAGGAGGGAAGAGAGAGAGAAGAAAGGAAGGAAAAAAGAGAGGGGGGAAAGGAAGGAAGAAGGAAGGAAGGAAAGAAAGAAGGAAGAAAGAAAGGAAAGAGGAGCGAGAAGGAAGGAAAGAGAGGGAAGGAAGGAGAGAGAGAGAGCAAGAGGGAAGGGAGGAAGGAAAGAGAGAGAGAGAGAGAAGGAAGGAAAGAAAGGGGAAAGAAGGAAGGAAGGAGACAGAGAGAGAAGGAAGGAAGGAGAGAGAGCAAGCTTCCTTCTTTGGAAGCTTAAAAGCTCCTTCTTTGGAAGCTTTTAAACAGAGGCTGGATGGCCATCTGTCAGGGGTGATTTGAATGCAATATTCCTGCTTCTTGGCAGGGGGTTGGACTGGATGGCCCATGAGGTCTCTTCCAAATCTTTGATTCTATGATTCTATGAGGGAAGGAAGGAAGGAAAAAGAGAGGGAGAAAAGGAAAGAAAGGGGAAATCACTACAGCTGTCAGGGGTGCATCTGCACTCTAGACTTAATGCAATTCAATACCACTTGAAGTGCTCAATGCTCTAGGATCCCAGAGTGTACCCTTTGCGCACTCTTTGGCCGAGAAGGCTTGTCAGACGACCACTCCTAGGATGCCATAACACTGGGATAACGTCGAACCGCCTTAACGCTACAGTGTGGCTGCACTTGAGATGGCAAGGGGAAAGGGAAGGACTGCCTCGCTTACCAGCTCTCCCCGGCGCCCTTCTGCCTCGCTCGGCTCCTTCTCGTCGGCCTGGCCCTCGCCCGGCTCTGGCGGCGGAGGAGGCGCTCGGTCCGGCTGCAACTCTGGAGCCCAGGAAGGGAGAGTCCGCCCAGTCCCTCCCTCGCTGGCTCGCGCGCCTTCTAGCGGTGGAGGACCCGGACTCCCTTCGCCCGGGAGGGAGCGCGCGCGCCAGAGAGAGAGAGAGAGAGAGGTACAGAGCAAGAGTCCGGGCGAAACCCCTCGGGCGCGCAGGCGTGCACGCACGCAGCCAGGCCGAAGGAAGCCGCTTCCGCCCACGTGCAGAGTGGGCGACCCCTGGAGTGGAGCTGCGTCACAAAGAGAAGACGCTCCTCGGCTATCCGGCACTTCCTTGGCTCTTGGCCTCGTTTGATTAAAAGTTCTCCGCGGCTTGAGTGGTGTTTTGCTCTAATGGGTAGAAAACTGTATGTCCTTACTGGCAGGGCAGCGGCCAGAGTGCTGGACTTCGGGGGCATCGAGGATCTCCTCCTCCTCCTCCTTGTATTACCCTGCTGTTGTCTCTTGATAGAAAACTGTATGGCCTTACTGCCAGTACAGTGGTTTGAGGACTGGGCTCTGCAGCTATGCTCTTCTTCTTCTATTATTATTATTACTATTATTATTACATGCCAGTGCAGTGATTTGAGGGCTGGGCTTTGCTTGCATCTATGCTCTTTTTCCTTTTCTTCTTCCTCTTCTTCTTCTATTATTATTATTATTATTATTATTATTATTACCATGCCAATGCAGTAATTTGAGAGCTGGGCTTTGCTTGCATCTATGCTCTTCTTCCTTTTCTTCTTCCTCTTCTTCTTTTATTATTATTATTATTATTATTATTATTACTATGCCAGTGCAGTGATTTGAGAGCTGGGCTTTGCTTGCATCTATGCTCTTCTTCCTTTTCTTCTTTTTATTATTATTATTATTATTATTATTATTATTATTATTATTATTACCATGCCAATGCAGTGGTTTGATGGCTGGGCTTTGCTTGCATCTATGCTCTTCTTCCTTTTCTTCTTCCTCTTCTTCTTTTATTATTATTATTATTATTATTATTATTATTATTATTATTATTACTATGCCAGTGCAGTGATTTGAGAGCTGGGCTTTGGATGCATCTATGCTCTTCTTCCTCCTCTTCTATTATTATTATTATTATTATTATTATTATTATTATTATTATTATTACATGCCAGTGCAGTGATTTGAGGGCTGGGCTTTGCTTGCATCTATGCTCTTCTTCCTTTTCTTCTTCCTCTTCTTCTTATTATTATTATTATTATTATTATTATTATTATTACCATGCCAATGCAGTGGTTTGATGGCTGGGCTTTGCTTGCATCTATGCTCTTCTTCCTTTTCTTCTTCCTCTTCTTCTTTTTATTATTATTATTATTATTATTATTATTATTATTATTATTACCATGCCAGTGCAGTGATTTGAGAGCTGGGCTTTGCTTGCATCTATGCTCTTCTTCCTTTTCTTCTTCCTCTTCTTCTTCTATTATTATTATTATTATTATTATTATTACATGCCAGTGCAGTGATTTGAGGGCTGGACTTTGCTTGCATCTATGCTCTTCTTCCTTTTCTTCTTCTTCTTCCTCTTCTTCTATTATTATTATTATTATTATTATTATTATTATTATTATTACCATGCCAGTGCAGTGGTTTGATGGCTGGGCTTTGCTTGCATCTATGCTCTTCTTCCTTTTCTTCCTCTTCCTTATTATTATTATTATTATTATTATTATTATTATTACCATGCCAATGCAGTGGTTTGATGGCTGGGCTTTGCTTGCATCTATGCTCTTCTTCCTTTTCTTCTTCCTCTTATTATTATTATTATTATTATTATTATTACCATGCCAATGCAGTGGTTTGATGGCTGGGCTTTGCTTGCATCTATGCTCTTCTTCCTCTTCTATTATTATTATCACCATGCCAATGCAGTGGTTTGAAAGCTGTGCTTTGCTTGCATCTATGCTTTTCTTCTTCTATTATTATTATCATCATTATTATTATTGCCACCATGCCAATGCAGTGGTTTGAGGACTGGGCTTTGGTTGCATCTATGTTCTTCTTCTATTATTATTTGAAACACAACAAGATGAGTCCACAGCAGACACTATGCTGGCTGTTGAATTGGATCACACACGTCTGACACTTCGCAAGTATCTAGGACTGTGTAATGTATCAGTGAATAATACATGCAGATCCCAGTAAGGTGGCCTTCTGCAGCTGGCAGATGGTAATTTTGTCAGCGTCTAATTATTATTATTATTACCACCATGCCAATGCAGTGGTTTGAGGGCTGGGCTTTGGTTGCCACTATGCTCTTTTTCTGTTATTTGAAACACAACAAGGTAAGTCCACAGCAAAAAAGATCACTCTGCTGACTGTTGTATTGGATCACACGTTGGACACTTCCCAAGTGTCTAGGACTGTGTGATGTATCGGCGAATAATGCATGCAGATCCCAGTAAGGTGGTCTTTTGCAGCTGACAGATGGTAATTTTGTCAGCACCGAGTGTGTTTAAGTGCAGGCCAAGGTCTTTAGACACTGCACCCAGTGTGCCAATCACCACTGGAACCTCCTTTGGCTTGTGCCAAAGTCTATGCAGTTCAGTCTTTAAATTCTCATATCATGTCAGCTTTTCCAGTTGTTTCTCTTCAGTCTTGCTGTCGCCTGGGATTGCAACATCGACAATCCATACTTCGTTTTTTAACACGATCATGAGATCAGGAGTATTGTGCTCCCAAGCACTGTCAATCTGAATTCGGAAGTCCCAGAGTAGTTTGACATGTTCATTTTCTGGTTTTTCAGGTTTGTGATCCCAGCAGTTCTTTGTCACAGATATTTGTGGCATTATTACCGTTCCAGTGCAATGGTTTGAGAGCTGGGCTACAAGTGCACCTATGCTCTTCTTCTATTGTTGTTGTTGTTCTTGTTATTATTGTTACCACCGAGCCATTGCAGTGGTTTGAGGGCTGCGCTTTGGGTGCATCTATGTTCTTTTTTCTTCTCTTCTTCTTTTATTATTACCATGCCAGCACAGTGAGCTGGGCTTTGGGTGCATCTATGTTCTTTTTACTCTTCTATTTTTATTATTATTGTTATTATTACCATGCTAGTGCAGTGGTTTGAGGGCTGTGGCTTTGGGTGCACTTATGCTCTTCCTCCTCCTCCTCCTCCTCCTCCTCCTCCTCCTCCTTTTATTATTACCATGCCAATGCAGTGGTTTGAGGGCTGCTCTATGGATGCATCTATGCTCTTCTTCCTCCTCTTCTTTTTTATTATTATTATTATTATTATTATTTCCATGTCAGCACAGATGTTTGAGGGCTGGGCTTTGGGTGCATCTATGCTCTTCTTCCTCTTTTCCCTCTTCTTCTTCTTCTTCTGTTGTTGTTGTTACCATGTTGTCTCCTCTTGATAGAAAACGGTATGGCCCTGCTGCCAGCTCAGTGAGTTGACTTGGGTGCATCAACACTGTAGAGTTAAAGCCAACACCACTTTAACTGTCACAGACCATTGCTAGGGAATACTGAGATTTGTAGCCTGGCATCGCATTAGTCCTGTTTGGCAGAGAAGGCTGAAGACCCCAAAATCTACAACCCCCATGATTCCACAGCATTGAGTGATGGCAGATAATAGTGTTTCCAGCTGCAATAATTCAACTGCCGGATGCATCCCGTGACCCAGGAGGGCAGAGTCTAAATCCCTGTGCCCTTGGGTGAGTCACATTCCCTTGAAACAGAAAACCCAGTTTGCCTCAGAGTTGCCATTGCTGGGGAATGCCTTGAAGGCACAGAAAAACAGCAACAAATACCTTCTAGTTCTGTCACCCATGAACATTAGGGGCAGTTATAATCAAAAACATTTGGAATGTGCAACATTGGGATCTTGAAAGATCCTGTCTGAACATGGAAGCTGAACAGGGTCTGTGCTGGTTAGTGCTTGAATAACAAGCTGTCAATGAATACCAAGCACTGTAGGCTATATTTCAAATGAAGGACCTGGCAAAGCCACATTTGAGCATCCCTTGTCTACGAAAAACCAGTGAATTAATGGAGTCACCAGAAGTTGATTTGAAGGCATGCACACACATGCATGTACACACAGAATGAATTAACAGTTCACCCATAGTTTACACATTTACACTGTTACCAGATTTTAAAAATCTGTTGCCCTTCCAAGGTGGCCAACGTTAACTTTGGATGAGTTCTAAAGTACATATTTATAGAGGCTGATACTGTAGGAGATAAACTTCTGATTAAATATTGATTTTGAGGAGAGAATTTTTCCAACGGACAGAGTTTGCTGCGATTGTGCAAACAACAGAATGAGCCAATTTATTTTACAGTTCGTGCAAAGGGCGGTGGCAGTGTTATGTAGACAATGAATGCAGTGTGATCTTAAGTAACTAAAAAATCCAGCGCGGCATAGTAGTTTGAGTGTAGGACTAGGACTCAGGAGGCCAGGGTTTAAAATCCCCATCTGGAGATGCAAACCCACTGGATGATCCTGGGCAGGTCACACTGTGTCGGCCTCAAGGAGGCAATAGACCATAGACCATAAACTTGAAACGATTTGAAGGCACACAACACTCATACTACTGAGATATCCCAAATAAGAACCTGAAAATAAGTTGCATGCTAACTTATTTACTTACATACTATATTTATACCCCTCCCTTCTCACTTCAAAGGGGACTCAGAGCAGCTTATAATAACTTATACTAGACCCTGACTTAGTTCTGTCAGTGTTTTTTTAGCTTGGAAAAGAAACGATGCCTCAATACTAGTATATAATTTATTTTATTTATTTATTTATTTTATTCACTTGTATACCGCTAATATCTCAGCCTAGATCGGCGACTCATTGCGGTTTACAACAATTAAAAACAGTCTCCAATTTAAAACATACACACATACAATACAAATTATTGGGCCACCAATAATAATCCCATGCATCTCGAGCTAAAATCATAATCCAGAATTCGTTGTCCATGATTACCTGTCCTTAGTCACCAAAATTCGATTGCAACGGATTAGCCGAATGCTTGTTTAAACAACCATGTTTTCAATCTCTTCCGAAACACCATCAGCGAAGAGGCTGATCGTACCTCTATAGGGAGGGTGTTCCAAAGCCGAGGGGC